CCGGTACACAATTTTGATGGAATGGAGATGCAGAATCCCACAGGTGATCTGAGCTGAGTAAAAGATGATCCTTTTCATTTCCAAACCCCTTTCTCCCACATTGTAGATGTGATACTTCAGATCCCCTCCATTCATGAGGCTCATAACAAGACACAGATGGGTTTTGGTCTCATAGGCATAAGCTAGTGTGACTATGAAAGGGCTGTTGACCTTCTCCAGGATCTCTTTCTCCAGCAGTGCCATCTTCTCTCCGCTTTTCTTTTTCAACCTTTTCTTATCCAGTTTCTTGCAGGCATACATCTTGCCAGTATTTTTGACCTGGATGGCACAAACCTAGAGAAGACGCACATGGAAAGCTAATGAAGGAATCTTACACAGAGACTGGAATATCAAAGGTAGTAACAGGCAGGAACTGGGGAATAATTGATGCCTATTAGTAGCTGCTGATGCTAACTTCTATGAAGAGTATATTAGCACAGAAAACAAGAAAAAACAAATGCACAATCAGTTCTGTTCTGGAGCAGCAGTTTATCGTGGCCCTGATGCAAAGTTCTCGAGGATGCCATTAGTAAACGTGTATTAGCAAATAAAAGGAACAAGGACAAGAACAAAAATCTGTAACCATGAGAATAAGCAGCATATACAGATTATGTCTGTACAGTTAAACTCGCTTGACTCTCAAAAAACCTCCATACTGTAGTTTGGAATAGATACTGATGTGTGCTTTTCTCTAAACTGCAGCTAGGAATTATGTGGGAGTGTGTGAGATGGCACAGGCTAATATGATGTCAAGGAGCAGACTTAATAGTTAACTACATGAACATTCATGCAAGTTTTTGTAAAGAAGCCTGCTTTTCTACTAGCATAGATACAGAATACAAAAATATTAAAGTAGCTTTTTACTAACAAAAGCCTCTATCACAGTATAAATAACTCAGGCTGATTTCTGGAAAAAGGGCAATCTGAAGGGGCACATCTTACAAATCTTCATACAGTGGCTTAATCCACTGCTCTTTGCAAACCCACTTGCTAGTCTTGAAAGGGGAAAGATGACTCACATCCTTAAAAGTGCAAGCTCTTACCTCTCCAAAGCCACCTTTGCCCAACACTCGGAACTCAGAGAAGTATTTATCAGTTACTGGCTGCTTCTCAAACACTTTCCATTGGATGAATTTGTCATAAAAGGGGCTGTTCTGGAAATCCTGGAAGGGCTTGTCTTTAAAGAAGACTTTGGTTTCCTCCTTGGCCAGGTGCATGATGTTCTCATAGTCTTTTGCAGTAGCTGCTTTGCATTTGCTGACCAAGTCAGAGCTCATGAAAGACAGATAGTTTTTGGCGCCTTCCTTAAGAAAATTGGTGACAATATTCTCCATGGTACTGCTCTTGAGATTGTCCTCTGCCAGCTCCCAGTTTGACACCTCATCCAGGAAGTCCCTAGCTACCAAATATTCTGGCACTGTCTCTAAGAAGTCTCTGAAGAATTTCTTGCCAATGGGTTGCTGTTCACAGATGCTGTCATAATCACCAGCAATGGATTCTCTATGCTCTTTGCACTCCTCAACCTTGGGCAGTGAGAGGCTCTTACGCCTCTTTTGCATTTCCTTGGTGTCTCCTTCTCCACTCTTCCTTGCCTGGAGGTAGGCAGTGTTGGCAATCAGGTTGTCGAGCCCCCCCATGTCACACATCTTGGCAAGCCCTTGGGGTGGCAGAGCCTGGTTCAGACAAAATGAGTAACTGGCCCAGGAGCTGTGCTGTAGCTGCACTGCACTTCTCCCTGCTAGTGTGTGAGGGCTTCTGAAAAACACCAGAGAAACGAACTGCTTTTGCATTAAATACCTCTCAAGGATTTTCACTAAGTACCTTTAGGTATAGGCACCATTTGTGGAAAGTGACTGGTAAGAGGTTTCTCTGTAAGAAGCTTTGAGTTTGCTATGTATAGCTGAGGGATGACACCCTAGACAAACCTTCCCACTGGCAGTACCAAACGCACGTGGTTCAGCTGGTGTTTTTCAGAATGGGCCCTGATAATCTTTAAATGTAGCAAGATTCCCTCTACATGCACTGGCCCTGGCTGCTGGGAACATGCAGCGATGCACGGCTGCAATACGTGCACTCTCTCCAACTCAGGGGCACTTTGGCCACAGTCAGCAGGACAGGCCTGGATCTCCCCCAGTCGACATCGAACACCAGCAGACTAACAACTGGTTTTATGAAAAGCTGCCATGCCTAAAGACCTTGACATAGATGAACTACACAATTCAGTGCTTTGAGCATTCACACCTCCAAAGCTCAAGTTATATTCAACATCAGTGACTGAGCCCCACAGACAGTCCATGCAAACCCTGCCACCTTCCGTGGCTCCGTCTGAGCAGATTACATGGAGAGGCTAAGAACTGCCACTGGTCTAAAAATAATGATCCTTATATATGAAACAACACAGCTCTGACTTCATCTCCTACCCACAGAAAAATGAAAAACACTTCAAATGAACAGCCAAATCTTGCCAAGACATTTCCATATGTTGTTTTGGCCTCACTTTATTTTCCCTGCTGAGCTTTATGACAGAAAGTGGTTGGATAAGAAGGTGGCAACAACATATAGCTAAGGTGACATCAACAAAGAGACAAAGCTGATTATAATCAAGTGAAGGCAAATTCCACCTGCACTTGCTGGCTGCCTACCAGGAGGCATTTTTTTCTCTTCAAAAGAATAAAAATTATGTGTGGCACTCACTAGGCTAAGCCCCCTTCTGCTGTGGGGTCAGGTGGTTTGGCTGTTAAAACTTTCCTTAAATTTAAGGAAGATATTATGAGAACAAGAAAAGAAGTAACACTGGGGTCAAGCTACATTTTTGAGGTCAAGGTCAAGTTTCTTTTTTCACTATCTTAAAGCAAGCTGAAGAGCTGAATCACAAAAACTAAACATCAAGAGTAATAACAGGCACCTTTAAGATTCCCTATAATAATAAGTGTTAACCCCTTCTTGGCTGCTTTTTGCCACTCTACAACCATGCAGTGTTTCATTTTTACAAGCTTAATCCTGTCCACATTGAATCCATTTGACATAAAACTCGTGCTTGCACTCTACAGAATTCCCTTGGAGGTGTTTTTCTAGGAGTGATGGAGAGGGCCATCCATTGCTAAGTGCTGCGTGTGCAAGAGAACAGGGGGAATGGCAAGGCAGACATGGAAAGCCTGGCCAGTCCTGCCAGGTGTGAGCAAGCCCAGGGTGGGAGGTTACGTAAAGGGCTCAATGGAGCGGCCAACAGCACGGGCAACTGCAAAGAGCCAGCGGGGGAAATGGGGAATTCTGCTGGTGGCTGTCCTGAAAACGGGGCCTTAAGCAACACATTCCTGTAATACCCTGGGTAGAGAAAGGCATAAAGGAGGTAACAAAGCTTAACAAAGGTAACAAAGCCTTTCAGTTTTTTTGTTTTTTTTTAATAAAGCTTTTAACTTCCTAAAATTCAGTAGGATCTTTTTTATGTTTGGCCAGAATATCCACCACAGCTCAAAGAGCAGCAGGACAAATGGCTGGTAGCTGGGGCCCTAAGGCTGAACTCAAGCTTATTCCAGCTATTGGTATATTCATGCCTAAGCAGATCAAGAAAATACCTATGTTTATGGCACCTGCATAAGACAGACACATTTACAGCTTCAATGATAATTCTATTCAATTAATTAGAATATTTCCCAGTTTCTATGGAGGATAATTTTTCTCTAAAATAACATAACTTCATTAAAAGCAGTATCAAACAATATGATTATTCAACATATACTCATTACTCCAGTCACTTTTGAGATTTGCTTGCTGACTTATCCAAATCTGCTCAGCGTTTATTAAACACTAAAGAAAAGTAGATCAGCATTAATCTATTAGTTGATAATGGCTATTTAAGGTAGCGTTACTTGCTCATAGAACATACATTTGAGTGAGAAGCAAAAAAAGTATTTATTTTGCATATACAAGAGATGAATTATTACAGAACTGAACACAGGGATGTACTGGGATGTACTAACAACCATGCTAATGAGGCATACCAGGGTATGATTTAGAGAAGTTCTCTGGTGTAGAGCTCAAAGACTGGGACTTGTGCTAATCACTAAATCACAGAGAAACTATGCAGAACTTAAAATTAAAAAAACCTTATGTTCTCAATGAACCTCAATTACTGGTCAACAAGATACTTATAATATGCATATAGATAAACAAAAAGATCAGCTGGTTTGTTTTCAACATTAACTTTCCTAATACCTCATTTTTGTCAACACCCCTTTGAGCTGACACTTCGGAAAAACTCTTCCACAACTGTAATTCTCAGCTACCCTTGCCATGCACACGACATGAGCTAAAAGCAGGGCTTGGTACTTTCCATATTCACCTATAAACCAAAGAAAAATGAATAAAGTCCTCTGATGAAACTAGATGGCATTACCAGAGGTCAAAGGCTGGAGCCTCTGTCCAAATGCAGACAGAGAAAACAGGTGGTAGGTAAGATACAGTTAGACTGTGACAGCTAAAATTTATTTTCATGTCCATTCCGACTTCTTTTTTTTTTTTGCAAGAATTTTGGGAATACTTTTACACAAAGAGAGATAATCCACAACAATGTAAATGCTACAGGCACCTCACTACTGTTAACATATTTTACATCTGTTTTGAGTTTTAAGACAGACATCATCTGGCATAATAACAACTGATGTGATACAGTGTAACAGTGACTCAGGATTTTTTTTATCTCAGTGTGTAATTAAACAAAAGCTACATTTAAAAATCACAACACCTTAAAAACCAAGATTACAATATTAAACAAAACCACAGTAAACTCTGCAATATGCTTGATGACACAAATGTTGGAACTACTTTATACAGTGAAGATAAACCTCTTTAAATGAACTTAGAATTAGACAGAAATACATCTACTGAGAAACACATTAAACATTAAAGATGATAATTTGGAAGTAAACAATGCATAATATAGTGCTTCAATTTCACCCATATTGATTGATCATTTTATTAAGCCTGAATTTGTTACAGATTGAAAGCAATAATTCTACCTCTCTGTTAAATATATTTTAAAAATCCCACAGCGTATGTTCAGATTCAGAGTAATTTGGATACTTAAGGAAAAGACTAAGTCACAGGCAAGCACTTACACAGCTGTAAGAAAAATTTCAAAGATATATTCAGGATTTCCACAAAAGTAAAAAAATGCTTCCAAAACACTATAAGAAATAAAAAGATAATAAAGAAATTTCTATTAACTGAATTTTCATGAAATTACAATTTACCATTTTCCCCTAGATTTAATTAGTGCCTCCTTTCCTTGGGTTATTTAAATTATCACTTTTTTTTGCTAACCAGCATGATTGTCTACACCTCTAGTTAATTGATATCAAATACATGCATTTGTACAAAAAATCTTGGGATTAAAAATACATGTCTCCATGGTCACTAACAGAAATTCAAATAAAAAAGTCATTAACATGGTAACATTTTAATGTTATAGTTGTAGAAATCATGTACAGAATATAATAGAGCAACAGATTTAGAGATACAACAAAACGAAAGTCATAAAGAAGACCTAAATTAGAAATGTTTAATACAGTGCGATGGGAAAAGCACATGACAAATGTTTTACACGCTATTAATTTTAGATTAAAACTCAAAATACTTTCTTAAAAAACACACTGACTGTGTTTTTGCATACAATAGTACATAGGAAACATTTTCTTTATCCTGGCAGTAAACTATGCAGTGTATCAGACCACGTAAGGTGATCCTTTGAATTTAATTAATTTATCAATGGAGAAAGATTAAATGCTCTAAGTTTCTGTGCTCTGATCCAGACAACACTCACATCACAGCAGATACATTTGTCGAAGTAGCATCTCCTGTTTGAATTGTGGAACCCCTGCAGTGAGCCTGACCATGGGCTGCACCTTGAGCAGGCAGAGGCCTGCACCAAACTCACTCTGGTCTTGGAGCAGATAAACCAAGTGAGTCATGTCCTGATGGACACATTCCGTTCTTCATGAGCATAGAGCATAACACACACACCATTCCAATAACTGCAATAGAAAGAAATCCTTCCAGTTTTTATTTGCCTATTCTCTGGACTACCCAGTCCTGCTGGCAGAGGGGACAGCGATTATTCTGTTTCACCCACAAGGACATGCAGCAATTGTGGAAGGAATGATTGCATTCTCCCCAAACCACTGAAAGAGAAGAAAGAACATGTTGCAGTCACACTCAGCTGCCCAATCAACTCCTACAGCAAGGTTCAAACTATCACTCTCAAATATTTATAACTGATGGAAACTTCAGAGATAAAACAGGTCATCACTGATTTATCCACTGAGAATAGTTTATTATGATCATCCTGATGAGTGAGTTTCATCATCAAGCCTTTTACTTCCTTCCAAATACTAAAAAAAGAAATGCATATATTCTCACCTTCTGGTATAAAGTGACAGGGTTTTGTGACTGTATAAACACATTTATGGATGTGTTTTGCCCAGGAAAGAAGTGTAACTATTGAAGTTTTTCCCTTAATCTTCCCCAGTACCAAAATAAAGCCAATGCACTACTGACTCACTATCAGACCAGAGCGTATCACCAAATTCTCATGTGAATGAATGCACTGTTTGAATTGAAATGTATGATAGCAAGGAGGCACATGTGACACAGTATATAGTCTTAAAATCCGACCTTACAACAGCAGTTATTCGCAGGCTACAGTTGTTCCAACACTACAAAAATTGTTATCTGTTATCCATTTACTCCTGAATAATATTTTAAAATGTACTTACTTTGCTTTTTTTCCTTATTAGCTCACATTTTCCTCACAAAAGCACAAGGGTACTAATCAAAGGAGTGCTGTAAATTATACTTTTTCCTGTCTATCTTAAAAGCTTAGCAAGCCAATTAAGATATCTTGAACATGAAAACCCTATTCCCATTAAAACTATCATCAAAAAACCCCAGCGGTTTTTTTGAGACAATACACTTCAAAATGCAAAGCTCAACAGTATGGAAAGGTTTACCACTGCTTTAAAAGTTGTCATAAAGGTTTAAAGCAAATTCTTTGAGATAATTTTCACTATTTCCAATTCAAACACACAGAATTAAGACCTTCTTTTGCATACATTGGCACTGAAAGTATGATTATCTTTAAACTGAAGTGATTCCACTTTTGAAAATGAAAATTGAACAACCAAGCTGTTGCCTCCATTATCTCTGAATTAAGAGTGGGAAAAATACCACTTTCTAACTAAGACACACATTTATTTCACAACAGGATTTTTACTTGTACTTCCATTGTGCTTTCTGGCATGCACCTCTGAAGAAAAAAATCAGCTTTTTCCTACCCACTTCAAAAATGTACATTATGATCTCAAATATGCTCACAATGAAAGAAACCTAAACCTCTTTGTTGTGTATGTGTTGACAGGAAGTTGGAAGTTGTTTTGTTTTACAGCACAGCTGACATGAAAACTGATTTTTTTTTTTTACTGCTCAAAAATAAAGTATTAGTAACGTAGAAAGATGATACAATGTAGAACAAAACACCAGTTTACTTTTGAGCATTAATAAAATCAGTATTCCCTTCAAACTTTAAAATGCACCATACTGAGAGAAGCTTCAATTGAAAAACAAGCGAATGAAGTCACTACATACCAACACAATCTTCTTGTTTGTTTTCAGCTTGACATCTAAGACAGGCATCTAAAAGTAAACAAGAACAAACTCAATTTGATTCTCAGGATTCCATCTTAAGAATACGTTTGTCAGAGGGAAATATAAACTCTAATACAAATTTACAGAGGTAAAAATCTCAAGTTTTGATGTCTAGTTCAGCCCTTTAACATTAAATAGCCCCCTTAAATTCTAAAACTGTGCAAATGACAATGAAATATATATCTGAAAGAGATCAGAAGGACTCTGAACTTTCCAGCGTGTTTTGTTTATTTTCCATTGCTTTGGTATTTTCATAACTTTTGCTGAAAAAAAGCCTTCTCCATTTTGTAGATACGAAAGCCCGCAGATTTGTGCCAAGGCACTCAGGCATATTAAGACCAGAGCAAGCACAAAGCCAAACCCTAATTACAGGACTTTGTTTTTCAGATGTCAGCATTTCCTTTTAAGGAAGTCATTCACAATTTTGATTTTTCTAGGCTGTGCATCTCTCACCACAACTCCCACCACCTATTACTCTTTATAGTAGCCTCCCTTGACAAGTACCTGCATCTAATTTTCACAGGAGTCACACACATACAAATATAGTGGTACATTTGATAATATATGTTAATAAATACAGAACAATATCTAATTAAAAATATTTATCATCTTTATTCACTCCAGTCTGTGGCTTTAAGATTGGATGGCAGCTCCAGGACTCAATAAGATACAAGAGTGACAACTTCCAGGCTTCCCACTGTGCCACACAATGCAGTGGAAAAGTACCTTTGCTTCTCCTTTGCCCCAACTTGGGCTGCCACAGACACACGTGCACGGATCATGCACAACAGAAAATGTTCAACTGTTATGTGAGCAAACACATCTTTATCTCTTCCAAAGAAATGTGGACACTTAAACAAGTGTCCTGCCGGTTGAATCTGGCTTACATGTCACTGGCTGGACCATATTCTCCCAAAAGACAAAACTCTAATGTGCTACAGGAATTTAGATTTGAGTATTTTTGCAGTCTCTGCCAGATAAGGCCAGTATTTGTATATTAGGTTGAACTGCCTAGACATTCCTCCTTTTCTCAGGTAATAGAGAACAAAGAAGAGAGAACTCTAAAACAGCTGCCCTTTCTTCATTGAGACAAAAGCAAAACTTTTGTGTTGTCTGTCCCTAAAATTCGTATTTCAACACCAGTTAGGGGCTAAGGTGCTGGGAGGATTCAGCCAAAGTGCTTCAACTCGTATCATGGTGTGTGGGAGCCCCCTGATCCAGGGTCACAGCAGAAACTCACAATAAATCAGCTGCCCTATTGAGCCCTAGAGTTGCAGCTTCAGACAGAAGCAGCACAGAGAGCCAAGGACAGAAATCACTGCCACCACACCAAAGTAACCTGTCCCCACTCCCACATCATAACCCCACAGATGGGGGTCAGTCTGAAAGGCTAAGGACAGCAAAGCCAGTCCAGCTGCAATCCTGTGCTTCCCAGCTAACACCTGCATTTTTGTCCCTTTCTCTTGTGCATCTAAAACTACCTTGGGTGAACGAGTTAAACCAGCAGAAAATGGAGCCAGCTAACACCTCCTTCCCTGCAAAAGTCAAACTAACCTTCAACAAGTGCCAGTCTCAGTCTGGCACTGCCCCCACCTAAGGTTACTGCAGACGCAGTGGCTCTACAGGAGCCAGACCCGCTCTGGCAGGGTCAACACAGAACTGCTAAACTGAAGTCAGTAATCATCAAATTTCACATTCTAACAATGTGGTTTGTTCCCAAAAAACGGTTACTAGTTTTTTTCAGATTTTTTTTTCTAGTTTCAGATTAAAAGTACTCCCTTGGTCTAGCAATTAAAAAATTAAGACTTTTTTTTTTTAAACTTTTATAATAGCTCTGGGTAAGATTTTAATTTAAGACTTTTTTTATAGTGTTCTGTAACAGCCTAGCTTACAATGGGGACAAATGCATTTTTAAAATTATGGTTTAAATGGCAAATGAAGACAATTTCATATTTCCAGAGTGGTCTCTGTTTACTTGTACACCCTTCTGCCTCCTCTGTTCCAGAGAAAGTTCCCAGCAAAATTATTTAGGAGAAATGACAGAATGGTATATTTTGCCTCATTTATGTTAAACCAAATGCTGATTTCATTTTCAGTATCAGGGTTCCTGGCCCTACAAAAACTAGGTGCTCTGGCGGGAACTTTGGGTCATTTGTCCTGCCGACGTGCTGCAGACCCAACTGCGAGGACAGCTACACCTAGGATGACTCAGTCCAAAATAATTGTAAAAGCTGGACCTGCACACACAGTAAAGGAAGAATTTAAACCGCTTTTGAAGAACTAAGATAAATCTCATATTTGACAAAGATGTCAGAAAACAGTAATATGAGTTAACAATGAAGGTGCTTTCAAACAGTCTCTGGGTTTCAAAACCAAGTAAATTAACCCCTTACTCACTAAATTTCTCAGTACATTTGTGTGTGTTAAACTGCACCAGCAATCACGCTTGCGAAGTAGAGTCTGACACCCTGGTTTAACAGATTTGAAAAATCAATTTTTACGTACATCTGTAACTGCTTCGTAGAAAAAAAAAAACCCTTAACAAAACCCACCCCATAAAGAGCAGCCCCACGCATGCAGCACTGGCTTCAGCTGGGCTCTAAGTCCGTGCTTGCGGATTTGCCCTCATGACGAAGCCGGCACCGCACGGGTCACGGCGCGGCCCGGCCGGGCAGGGCCGGGCCGGGCAGGGCAGGGCTCGGCCGGGCAGGGCCGGGCCGGGCAGAGCCGGGCCGGGCAGGGCCGGGCAGGGCAGAGCCGGGCCGGGCAGGGCAGGGCCGGGCAGGGCAGGGCAGGGCAGAGCCGGGCAGGGCAGGGCAGGGCAGGGCCGGGCAGGGCAGGGCCGGGCAGAGCCGGGCCGGGCAGGGCAGGGCTCGGCCGGGCAGGGCAGGGCAGGGCCGGGCCGGGCAGGGCAGGGCCGGGCCGGGCAGGGCCGGGCAGGGCCGGGCCGGGGGGCTCTCGCTGCCCGACAGGGCCGCCTGTGGCCCCGCAGCGCAGCGGCCCGGCCCCCGCGGGGCCCTCCTCCTCCTCCTCCGGGAAGGCGCGGAGGAGGAAGCGGAGGCGGGAGGGATCAGCCCCCCCTTCTGCCGGAAACCGCGTCTGTGCCCGGCGCCCGCCGTGCCCGGGGCGGCAGGCACGGCCCCAGGCCCGGCCCCGGCCCCCCGCCCGCGGCCATGGCGGCCCGGCCGCCGCTTACCCATGACCTGCACCCGGCAAATGGCGCAGGTGTCGCACTCCACGTCCCAGCTCCACATGGCCACCGCATTCCACTTCTTCAGCGAGAACATCTTGTCGGGGGCGCCCGCCTTGGAGCCCGCGGAGCCCGGCAGCGAGTGGGGGGCGCCGGGCTCGTCCCCGTCCTCCACATCGGCCATGGCGGAGGGGCGGGGACCGGCGGCCGCGCGGGCGGCAGCGCCACCCTCCGGCGGCGGCGGGAGCGGCACGGCGGCGGCGGCGCGGGCCGGGCCCGCGGGGCGAGGAGCCCTCGGAGCCCTCAGAGCCCTCAGAGCCCTCAGAGCCCTCGGAGCCCTCGGAGCCCTCGGAGCCCTCGGAGCCCTCGGGCACCGCTGGCGTTCCACCGGGACACCCGCAGTGCCAGGCTGGCATTGCTGACGAAGGATGTTCTCCTTCGCAGAGCGCAAGTGCAGCAATCCCGACCTCACCCTTGGTCCGGGCTGCCGGGAGTGTGGGGGAGAAGACCCAGTCGTCCAACGCAACACGTTTCCTAGGACTGCTGACAGAACAAGTGAAACACCTCTGCGGTGGCGTGCACCTTGGCCACCTTCGTAAGAAAGTAAAAAATAAAAATTGTATTAAAGATTGCATGTTTGCACATTACTCAACTATCAATTCAGAAGCACCTTGAACACTGTTAAGCAGCATGTTAATAAAGCCTTTTAGCCTGGCTGAATCACACTTCTCTCGATCCACACTGTTCAATTCCCTTTGCCAGCTCCACTCCTTTATCTCATCATTCTTTTCTGTCCATTTTAAAAACCATCAGGGCATTTCTGATTTCAATTACTAGGACTAGATGTAATCCAGAAAGTTTAAAATATTTTTTTAAAAATTAAGTACATTTCATTTCTGCTGTGTAAAATGTCAACTACCTCTAAACAGAGATTTTAAAAAAAGGGAAAAAAATTCTGTTGGAGTTTTGGGGCTTTTAGATTTATACAATTTGCCTTGTATCCCTAAATGATGCAATTCTTCAGTTCTAAGATTCTAAGGGCAAATTATGTCAGATATTATAATTGTGTTTGAGTGCTGTCAAACCATCATACATGTGCTGTACACGATGCAAAGTCAAATATAAACTCCATTTACATTAGCTGTGAAAGTAGAGCAAATATGACACAGGCACTTTGACTCTCTCCATACTGCCTTAGAGAAATAAGTGATAGCTTCCTACCTAAAAATTATTTTCTTGCTATTTTATCAGCTAAAGAGCTGTGTAAGAAAAATTCCAAGCCGTTTTTGAGAAGTAGTTCTGGCAGTCTGTAACTCACCTATCCCCTGCAGCCACAAGGTGGTGGAGCCACCATTCCTGGATGTGTTTAAAAAAGACTGGATGTGGCTCTCAGTGCCATGGTTTAGTTTAGGTGTTAGGGCATGGGTTGGACTCAATGATCTTGAAGGTCTCTTCCAACCTAGTGATTCTATGATTCTGTGAAAATTATTTTTATTAAAAACAAAGCCTTGACAAAAATGTCAGTTTTATGATAATGCAAAGAACAGTTATGTAAGCATGTGTTTATCTTGGCCAACTGATGCATGTACTGGACTGTATTATTCCACTTACTGTTTGTTCTGTCAATAGATTAACATATATCAAAACACTTGAGGACCGTGTCAATTTATCTGCCAAAGAAAACAATTTAAGCTTAAGTCTCTACCAAAACTATTTCTTAAACTCTGGTTATCTGCATCTCTCTGTGCCTCTTTCCCAACAGGAATATGCTACATGGGTCTACTAATGGCCAGTAGGGCTGAGACTTGGCTACAGTGGGGGTGCAAGAGGAAGACAGCACAGGGAACAGTTTGTCACCGCTTGTGACAAACCCACCTGTAGCAGCTCCTAAGGCTTTACTGAATCTGCCAGGTGCAATTGCCAAAATGGAAAACAGACTTCAATGCTGACAGGTACAGTTTCTATGAAACAGAAGCATATAGCAGGCATGCAGAAATACGCAGAAATCACAATAGGAGTTAGGGAAACAATGTATTAGTGGAATAAACTGCCTGCTTTTGCACTGGGAGGATCTCACTGGATGGGAAGAAATCACACAAATATATTGCTGCACAGCATAGCAAAGGGATCCCCATATTCCTATAGATCTATTTGATTTGGCATGAACTTCATAAAAGTCCAGGAATGAGCTCAAAGACTGAGAAGTAGCAATAATTCCAATTCTTAAGTGCATTGTGCTTTACTCTTCAAGTGAAACAAAAGAACGTTAATGACACATAATACACAGAAGGGAAATCCTTACAGAAGTTATGAAAAAAATCCCCTTAACTTCTGCACAGGAACCTCTCTGCTTCAATGGAAAACCCTGTGTCACAAGAGACTAAAGAGATCCTGACTTTGCTGAGCTGCTTTAATCAAGTCTAAACCCTTGGAACTTCTCCATTCTTCACACAACACCCTAGCTCATCCATCTTTCCTTCTGCAGCAGACATTAAAAACCAGTGACACAAAGACTCCTGACTGCTTTATGAAATTCTATACTGTGTTTTTGTTTGCTAATTATTTTACTCTGGAGTAAAACTCAGCTATTACTATTACCTCTGAGCAGTGCTGATTTTCAGGTTAGATGTCTATCTCATATCCATTCTTTAATTTAGAAAACCTATGAAGATAAAATTTTCCCTATTTTAACTGTAGTTAGCTGTTTGAGAATGGACCTGCATTCTGAATTGAAACCTGGAAACCAAATGATGTTGTTCAGTTGTTGTGCAGGGGCACAGCCCCCATCTATTTTGAAATATGGACACTTCCTATAAATTTGTGAGGTAGTACAGTTTGCCTTACTATTTTTAAAATCCCTGATATTTGGATCCTGCCTAGTATCAGGATGGACCCCAAAAAAGCCACTCTTAGAAAATCCAGCCCTCCAATCCACACCAGACCTCCGCTCCGCAAAAAAATCCCTAAAACCACAAAAATAAAAACACTACCAAGAGAAGCCATGTAACTTGCCTATAGAAACTCCCTTTACTCACATATTTAAATTACTGGAAGGTGTTGCACAGGGGAACTTTATCTTCTCATTATTCACCTTTGCAGATGTTATATCCTGTGTACCATGTCACAACTTTTTTTTACCTTGACCTACTTTTCTATTTTTAGATTTTGGCCAAGGTAGTGACAAAAATATGCATTTAAAATTCAAGTATATATAAAAATAATAATAACAAACAGTTATAAATGTCACACCATGACAGAATGGAAGAACTCAGCTGGAGTTACTCAGGAGAAAACTAGATTAATTATTTTGGCTGTCACAGAAATCATTGTTTTGTGTTTCAAAATGTTCTATCTTTCCTCTGGAACTTTTCAAATTTGCATTGCTATACAAAGCATAGTGCCTTCTGTTACCCAGTATGGGGAGACTGAATTGTAGGTACTTCCCCCTTCTTTCATTGAGTACTTTAAAGGTCTGTGGATGAAAGCTGCAGCTAATTGTCAGGTCTGTATTACTGCATTACTCTGGATCACTTGATTCTTAAAGGGGAGTTTCCTTCTTACTCATTTTGTCTCTGCTCCCTGCTTTTTCCAGGCTCGTTTCTGTATCCTGCAGCAGCAGTGTCCCAGCGAGGGCTGAGCTGAACCCAGGAGCTCCAGCTGAGCTCTCAGCAGCTGCTGCAGCGAGTGACCCTCTGGAGCCTCTGCAGCCCAGGATACACACATCAGCCTGTCCCTGCTGCTCTTTGCCACCACAAAGCACAGCACATCCCAGATCTCTGGAGAAATCAGAGGGACCAGGTAAGAGATTTTTACCTTTAAGTCTTGAATTCAAGTCACACAGTAGGTTTACTTGGCTGTTCTATGATCCTCTCGGCTTTTTCCCCCCTGTGTACGAGGAATGACCAAAAATAAAAGATGAAAGTGGGGAACAAATTCACTGCCCCTTAAAGCAAACTAATTGTTTGGATCAATAAAGTTTCTAAAATTGGTATAATTATTTACGTCCTCTTTGGTGAAATTGTTAACTAGACTTCATACAACTGCCATGGCATTTGCAATAGTAATTATGCTAAAATAATAATGGACTCAAACACTGAAAAATCTTGATCATACAAGATTTTCTATGGAAAATTGTGTTAAGCAAGGTGGATGAATTTTATTATTTATCATAAACATTTATTAACATAAATAGTATTTTAGAAGCATTTCAGCAAGGTCATATATTTGCTTTTATTAAAAAATTACCCAAATTATTCTTATATGTAATTAAAATTCTTAATTTCTCTAATTAAATGCTTACAAAGCACAGCCTTTCCTCAACACTGTAGCTACTGGATCTTTTAAAATCTTATTCTCATTGTAAAGCAACTAATTATCAATGTTTTGGTCCCTGATTTAGGTACATAAAGTGCCTTTCTAAGTAATTTAGCTGAATTATAGACTATATTCCCAATTCTTACAACTCTGCTCTTCAACTCTGAAATGAATTTTTTTTAACATTGTTTATTATATTATGATGAATCCCAGGAATACACAAAATATTTCAGCAACGGTTTCATCACAGCTGGATACAGTAACACTAATATACTCTCCTTACTGCTATTAAAGAACTTCTGGTTTATTTAATGTGCATAAATCACATAAACCTCCATTAAATATGCTTCTGTAAGTATTTGTAAGAACTTCAAGTAAATTGCAAGCATTTGTCCATTCTACTAGAAGTTGCTTGTTACTGGGATATTATTGACCTGATTTCGATTTGATGTGTAAGCTCTTTTAAACACAATACAGGATCTGTCATTATCACATGTAAGTAAATGTTGCAAACTTGGTAATACAGATGACCAGGAATTAAAGATAATTTATTGTAATGTATGTATCATACATTTATTAATACAATAATTTAGATTAGAAAAGACCTTTAAGATCATCAGTCTCAACTGTTAACCCAACACTGCCAAGTCTACCACTAAACCATGTCCCTAAGTGGCACATCTACAGATCTGAAATGGGAATGCCCTTTTGGTGTCACAGGTTATAGAAAACCCAGGTTACTGGAATGGTTAGAGAAGGCAGTATATTAGCAGAAAAAAGAAAGGCTCAATCTGATATAATCATTACAGAACACATGCAATTCCTTTTTTTAATGTTCACAGAAAAAATTTCCTCCTGTACTTCCAACTTCATATTAATATTCCTCTGCTTTCTAATCTCTGCA